GGCAGGCCTCTCCCCAATAATCAACACTGAATCAGATATGAAAAAGATAATGTTAACTTTACAGTCAGTCAAGGTTTGCACAGGATGTCCTGTTGATAAATATTGCACAGTATTACCAGCAGATGAATCTCTCCCTATCTATTGTACTAGATCTGGTGAACCAGCAGCTTTTGTGGAAGTTTTACCTTCACAATACCACACAAAAGTTATAAGATCTACCTAYTGTATGGTATTTGTACCTCATGATGAAGTCCTTTCAATTTCTGATACTTGTGCTGCTTGTAAAAACACCGAGCATTATTTAAGAACACTCAAATCCAGAGCACAATTTGAATCAACGAAGGACAAATCTAATTATACTCGTTTTGACTATTTAAGCAAGCAAGAGCTACTTCAACTGCTCAGAAAAAGAACAAGTGAAATGAGATATCTACAGGAAAAAATTAAAAGACTAGAAAGATATAGAGAAAAAATGACTGAAGTAGGGAAAAAAACTGATACTGACTTTAGAGCACTATTTGACAAACTCAAATAGGTATGTCGGCAAAGAAGGAAAAACTGAACAATGCTAAATGTTATTGGGAAGGATGCAATATAACAGATATGTTTTCAGATGTTGAGAAATTGTATGTTCATGTTAAGACCACTCATGTTGACCCAGTATATCTGTGTAAATGGGAACATTGTAAGAAAACATTTGGTAAAAAGAAGCTACTATACAATCACATAAGAGAGCATACAGTCTGAATGATCAGTTTTTTGAAGTATTATTGACAGACCAAGCAAAAGCTTTAAATGTTCCAAGCCGACAGATGAGATGGCATCCACTTGTTATTAAATGGTGCTTAAGGCTGTATTCAAAATCACACTCTGCCTATGAGGACCTTAGAGAATCTGGATTTTTGAAACTTCCAAGTGGGAGAACACTGTCAGATTACAAAAATTTTGCATCGCCCATGTCTGGTTGGCAGACTACACGGCTTCAAAACATGAAAGAATCTTTTCAAAAATCAAAAATAGGAAAACATGGGAAGTTGGGAGGTCTCTTTTTTGATGAGGTTAAGATAAAGGAAGGACTAGTATCTAATCCATCAACATTTGAACTTNAAATCCAGAGCACAATTTGAATCAACGAAGGACAAATCTAATTATACTCGTTTTGACTATTTAAGCAAGCAAGAGCTACTTCAACTGCTCAGAAAAAGAACAAGTGAAATGAGATATCTACAGGAAAAAATTAAAAGACTAGAAAGATATAGAGAAAAAATGACTGAAGTAGGGAAAAAAACTGATACTGACTTTAGAGCACTATTTGACAAACTCAAATAGGTATGTCGGCAAAGAAGGAAAAACTGAACAATGCTAAATGTTATTGGGAAGGATGCAATATAACAGATATGTTTTCAGATGTTGAGAAATTGTATGTTCATGTTAAGACCACTCATGTTGACCCAGTATATCTGTGTAAATGGGAACATCGTAAGAAAACATTTGGTAAAAAGAAGCTACTATACAATCACATAAGAGAGCATACAGTCTGAATGATCAGTTTTTTGAAGTATTATTGACAGACCAAGCAAAAGCTTTAAATGTTCCAAGCCGACAGATGAGATGGCATCCACTTGTTATTAAATGGTGCTTAAGGCTGTATTCAAAATCACACTCTGCCTATGAGGACCTTAGAGAATCTGGATTTTTGAAACTTCCAAGTGGGAGAACACTGTCAGATTACAAAAATTTTGCATCGCCCATGTCTGGTTGGCAGACTACACGGCTTCAAAACATGAAAGAATCTTTTCAAAAATCAAAAATAGGAAAACATGGGAAGTTGGGAGGTCTCTTTTTTGATGAGGTTAAGATAAAGGAAGGACTAGTATCTAATCCATCAACATTTGAACTTATTGGTTTTACTGATCTAGATGATGATGATGTCTCTCTAGAGGTGACAGAAAAAGATGTAAAGTTGGAGAAAAAAATTGCAACCCATGTTCTTCAATTCTTCTATAAAAGTTTATTTGCCAACTTTGAATTTCCTTGTGCTTTCTTTCTRACAAGGGGTGTWACTGCAACAAAACTAAACAGAGTTTTTTGGCAAGGTATTAGTTTACTACATGGGTTTGKCTTTTCAATCATGTTGACATGCTGTGATGGAGCATCAGAGAACAGATCTTWCATGAACATGAATGGAATAAATCAAACAAAAAGCAAATGCAMCAATCCCTTTTCCAAGATGCCTTTATTTTTTATATCAGACCCACCTCTCATCTCATGAAAAAGTTAAGGAACAACATTTTTAATAGTGGTTTTAAAGATAAGAATGCTCGCTTTACTCGGAGATTAAGAAAAAATGGAAAAGACATACTTTGGGACCACATCTACTCTGTATATCAACGGGACAAAAACAGAAGGTTGTTTGCAACTGACTTGGGGAGTTCACATGTGCACTTAAACAACTTAAGCAAAATGAGAGTAAAACTTGCAGTTAACACACTTTCTACAAAAGTGATACAAGAAATGGCAACTTATGAAAACAATGGTACTGCATCAACACAAGAGTACATAAAAAATTGTGAAAAATTCTGGAATGTCTTTAATGATAACAAGCCACTTGAGTCCCACAATGACGCCAGGATGACTTCTTTAACAGAAGTTCTTACTTATTTTAAAAACTGGAAAGCAGAACTTCAACAGCTCTACAAAGCCAAGGCAGAAATTTCTTCTCATTTCATTACATGGCAAACAATGTTTGACCTTGAGGTTAGTCTATATCAATTTATAAAATTTTTGAGATGCAACATGCGCTCTCATTGRCTGATGACCGTGTTATATAAGAGAACAGAGACATGGTTTGATGCTCGCACGCTTTAAAAAGGCAAAACATTTTATAAAAGAAATATAAAACGGCCGCTTGTGTGTCTGTTCTCTGATATAAACACGGTGGGAGATGGAGAGCACTCGAGAAGCAAAAGAATATGAAATATACCGTAAAGTCCTCATAAGATCTCCCTTCAAGAAAGACTTTGTAATGTATTTTTAATGTCAGTTTCTTGAACGGCAGCCAGACAAAAAACCTTGAAGGTCACACTTCATTAATAATGACTATAAATATTATCTTGTATTATATTTTAAAGGTTTCCATAGATGGRCTAAAAGAACTTCTGACGTATATACAATCTGTTGAGTTTCAAAACTCTTATGGGCAATTGTACATCATACCAAAACGGTTAAACCAAGACATAGTTGAGTCTTTCTTCTCATCACAAAGACAAATGTGTGGAGGATCAACCAACATGACAGCATTTACATATGGATATAACGTAAATGGACTTATTTCATACAGACAGTCAAGACTTCTTAGGAATAAGCAGACCAATGTTTATGAAGTGGAAGAGTGTTATCGTCTTGCACAAGCTTCAGAGCTACTTCCAAAAAAGAAGAGGCCAAAGTCATAATATTGATGTTACCTGGACAGTCCAACTATAACTTTAGAGTATATAAAATATCTTTTTTTATGATCGTTTGAGCTACCAGTAGTTAGGTCAAGCATAATTACTTCTCTTTTCTGTAATTACAGTTCAATCTTTGCATGTAATTCCTTTTAAATGCAACAAAAAGGAATAAATTAAATGTATTATCATAAATGATTATTATTACAAAAATAAATTTAATCAACAAGAAAGTAATTTGCAACTGGCTTGAGTTGATGATTGATTAAAGCTGCTGCTGGGAGCTTTTGGCAAATAAATCAATCAATCGATCAACAGAAAAAGACAGGKTTTTTTGTCCAGCATTTTGGAGAGTTACAATCGAATTAAACAAATTGCTGAAAATATGGAAATATTAGAACAATATTGGTGATCTCCTAGCTTAAAATCATCCTATGTTGACAGCCCTGTCTTACAGATTTTTGGCTGTCTAGACTTTCTTTGACTTAAGCATCATATTTAGTAAGTAAGCTGTATTTTACAGAAAAAAAATGGTCTTACCTTTTCTGGATATTTTACTTCAAGATTGCCAGTTATCAAAATATCAATCTGCCTTGATTTTTTTTTTTTGCCATCAAGTCCTGGCTTGCCAAGTGACAAAAGAAGCTTTGTCAATTCTTTTCCAGTGAGGTGAGATAATACTTCATTGCCATCGGGGTCATTTGCAATATTTTTTTTAGGCATACAGAAACTTTTTCAGGTGATTCAAAGTTTTGTCTTAATTCTGATATTACTTATTACTATTACTTATTACTATTACTGGAATTGTTTTTGTTTTATTTGCTTGAGTTGAGCATTGTTCCTTGGTTTTGGGATTTTGTTTTGATGACTTTTTGTTCAGCTCTTCTCTCAAGGCTCTGCTTYCTTTTTGTRGTTTCAGAGCAAACTGCTCCCTTATAATTTGCTGTTTTGATTTTACAAACATTGTACATATTTTTTCAAGTACAAATATGTTCAATTCTTGTGGGAATCCATATCTAMGTACTATTGGGTTCCAGTGTTGACGCAGCTCTTGATTTGTTGCAATGAATTGGAGACAAGCTACCACAACTTGACCAGTGTGTGAGTAAATGTTGTCTTTGGACAGTTGGTCTTCAGTAATGTCATGTAATTTGATAAAGAATGGGCAGATGTCATTATTTGGAATAAATCTGTACTGTCCATCTTCTTGTTTTTTATCAACACCAAGCTTTGAAAGTAGATCGAGTGCTTGTTTCTTCTCTACTTCCAAAATAGTGTTATCTTTAGGTGATTGTTTTATCTTAAGYTCTGAACTTGATTTTACTATATCTCTTGCTCTCTTGATTGCCCATCCGGCATGGTCCTTGATAGCCAAAAGTTCTATTTCATCTGTTTTTTTTTTGTGTGTGATAAAGGTGTCGCATGAGTTTCCATGGTTTCTGATCTTGATCCTATAGTACTCCAAAAATGTTGCAATATTATATGTGCTGCAATACAACATCATTAGATTCATTTCTCTCTAATTTTGCCAAGGAGAGAATACTTTGCCATGAATCACCCAAAGTACACTCGGACATGCATTTGGATCTTTCTGTATAAAAGTTTTTTTTCTATTTCGATCGCATGAAGACGCTTTTTGCGAGATTTGGCCTTCTCAAAACACTGAGCTAAAAATTTTGTCACTTCATCTAAGAACTTGCTCAAACATTGTTTATTTGAAGTTTGATTTAAAAGTGAAGAAGCGACATATCGTTCGCCCTTGACAATGTTGGAGTCCTCAATACTCAGTCTTTGCAATATTGCAGCAAGAGATGATTCTGTCACATTGGTTTGAAGAAACCCTTCTTTATCACCTTCTACATCTTCTTCTGTTGTCTCTGATTCTTCTTTATCTTCTTCATCAGTATCTTTTAATAATAATAATAATAATAATAATAATAATAATAATAATATGTGGTATTTATATAGCGAAAATATCCTCTGAGTTCAAAGGCGCTTCACATGTATAGATCATTTCACACGGACCGCTGTTTTTAAGGCGCAATTGGCAGCCACGCGGCTTACAATCATGAGGGGTTAGTAATTAGTATGGGTTAGTAGTAAGGCCTAGGCACACACACCGGGAATCATTCCCTACTCTTATGCGAACAGTGGTGTGGGTTCTTTAACGTCCCTCTAATACAGGTTAGTGAGTGAAGTGTAGAGAGACGGGACCTCCGATTTTACGTCGTTATCCGAGAGGACGCGAAGATCTTACCATTTGCAGATGGAGAAAGACAAAGGCAGCAACTTCTCCTCAATTATTTTAAGACCCTGAGTGTTGGTCCGGCYGGGGTTTGAACCTGCGACCTCCCGCACTTAAAAAAAAAAATTCCTTGCAGAAAGTCTTTTAAATCTTCTTCAAGGACGTTTAAAGCTTCCGCCGCCGCCGCCATATTGGACCACGCTTCAAACTAGTTCCCAGTCTCCCGCATCATACATTTTTGACTCGGCCCAGGCCGTTTCCCCGCCCTACCTCTAAGCGCCCTGGTACTGAGGGTACAGTATATCATATCCATGCAGGTTACATAGATTGTGTCAGGTACATGAATGCAGCTAGACGCCTTTTGGCCTCAACTATAACGTCACATGTCAATATCTTGTATTTTTTTTCCGTTAGTTCTGCTGTACATCTGTCTTTTTTATATCTTTTCTCTCCAGGATGGAATTCTCCAATTCGCAAAGAAAAGGACATACTTATCATTAATAAAATGAACAATCTGCCACTTTCAGAGCCAAATATTATAGACCAAATATTATATCAGATAGACATTGCATTTTTTTTGTTTTTGTGATCGTATCTCTCAATCATATGCTTCGCTTTGACGGTATTGGCCGACAACAAATAAACTGTATCTTGAATATCCGCGAATATAGACGAATCCGCCGATCAGGTGTGGCCGTAGTATAATACGCTTTCATTTTGTTCTTTACCAAGAAATACTAAGTGAATAGTCACTATATCGGACAAAATACTACAGTATTATGGGAAGGTAGTGTGAGAGAAAAGTGAGACCACAGGAGTCCCAATAAACGTTCCCCACGTGTTACGATGCCAGACAGAATTGTGCCAGACAGTTTGCCAAGGGGATCGTGTCTTGACATCATGGCCGAGGAGGTGCCGCACCATTCGCCGGCCAAATCTTTATCCATTTGGCAGGACGCTGAAGGGAAAAAATCCAAATGTAAAATCGACTAACGGAAATTACCAAAGTGTGGCAAATTTCTATTTTGAGATATTAAATTTTGTWGTTTTTCCACCCAAATTCAACCGCTACAGCAGATACATTCTGCAAGTCTCAAGAAGAGATGGAGTTTCCATGTAAGTAGAATATCTGAATTGTTTTCTCATATTTTTGTTTGACAWTTCTTATTGTCGAAACGTGAAATCACAACCTGAAACCACTGTTGAATGAAACATTAATTTTTAGACTTATTTGCAAATAGGCTGGTTTCTATTGAATATGATTTCCATTCWTGATATTTGTTTTCCAATTTACATGTAATTTATCTTTGAAGTGTAGTCTAGTGTTATAAGGGCATCATGATGCAAATAGTTTTCATTGCTAGTGTTATGTATCAGTAAAAATTTCATATCGACAATGGAAATGTAATTTGATTTCCTTTCTATTTAAGGAAAAGCTATGTAACAGTGGAAGAGATGGGGAGCGCAAAACAGTTCAGAAGTGCCGTCAACAGAACGTTCTCTGCTAGAGGAGGCATCATGTGGGAGAGTGTTAGTGATTATCAGCTTTGTCAATATCTTATAAAGGCCACTGAAGCATTTTACGAGAACAATCCAATTAGGAAACGTGCAACACTTACTGGAYRACGTCGAAGGACTTGGAGAATCAAAAATTGCATATTTATTCAATGAACATCTTCAAGTATGTATCTTTTATTATTTCCATATTGACCGATTTTTCCTAGATTCTTGTACGTTTTAGTAGACATTTTTCCAAAAATCATCCTTAAAATATCAATATCAATACCATGTGACCTATCGCCTGATTACATTAATTAATATCAATCTTTTTATTAGGAAAACCTATCACGCAAGTGGTYTTCATAGAATTCCTAAAGTATTTCAAGTATGCTTGAAATAATAGTTAGTGTTTAAATGTATATGAGCTGAAACAATGGCAGGGCTGTTTACACGTAAGATTTTAGGCGAGCGTTGGGCTTCACACAATAATAAATGGAAAAAAACCAACCTGCTCCTCCTAAATTAGAACCCGACCCGCTACAACCGATTTATAAACAAACCCAAAAAATACCAAATTGAAAGCATATTTTGATTTTTCAACCCGTCAGCATCTTTAGACAGTGTCTAGACATAATTAATTACAATACAGAGACATAATTTTAATTATGTAATTAAAGTTACAATACAGTAAAAACCCGCGTATRAGAACCTCAGGTTTTTTCAAGTTAGCCTAAACAAGTTCTTATATAAATGGTATTTAGTGTAAAATTATCAGTGTGGACAGACTGTTCTATAAAAAAAATAAAATAATTACTATATTTTGAGAAGATTATTTTTCCTTTTTTTTYGAAATAAGAACCTGTTTTAGAATTTTAGCCTAAATGCTTCTTATATGAAAGGTTATTAAAAAGGACAATTTAGCCTAACAGGTTCTAAATGTTAGGTTCTTATACGCGGGTTTTTACTGTACACAGATTCTGATAACAAACAAAAAATTCCTATTCCAAGGAGAAATATCATTTTTGCATTTTCCGTTTTGTTTTCATAACAATTTCGGAAGAATAGTGTTATGTATATTAATACAAGTAGAATATATTAATCACTTTTCAATCAYTGGCAGCTTAATAAATTATATCAATGACTATGACTATGACTATTGCAGCTGTAAATATCCATAATGTTTTCATTTTTARATTGATAAATATGGCTAGGTGATCCCACCACATGAGCATGAATATATTTGGATGATTCCTTACTTAAAGTCAATGCCTGCTGCACTTAATCACAAGAGTATACGAAAATATTTGCGGGGAACACCTGTAAATATTGATTCTCCACTCGAGGGTTTCGAATGGTCTAGGTTTTTCACAACAGCAAAAACCTAAGTTCTTTGATGTTAACTTTTATCCTTTCTTAATGTTTCTGAGTGGAGCAATATCTGCCTTTCACTATGAAGATGTTCTTACTCTAATAGGTAAGTAGACATGATTTTTATTTGAAAATCACAATATGAAAAATCATTGCTGTGACAAAATCTTCGTAAGGGAAAGAAATTTGTCCTGTTTACTGATTTGCATAAAATAGGACTCTAACTTTTCTTAGAAATATTCTTCTTTATCTTGAAGTTTTTAGAATTTTTAGCCTTTTTTTAGCTTTAAAAAGTTAATCACAGTGTCAGCATTTCCTAAGATACTTATTGTAGTTTTATTTCATGCAGGTTCATGCCCATCACCGATGGCAGTTGGCGATACTGCTTRTGGTAAATCAACTGCTTTGAGGGTTATTCAACAACTATTAGGCTGCAACTTTGTATCACAATCATCATCASAGGCTGTTGCTTCAGAGATGGCAAGAAGCAGAAAAACACAGCTGAACTTGGAACGTTATGCATTGCTAGTTCTCCAGAACATTTGATACATGTTGAGATAGGAGGACCAATAAACTTATTAAATGGGAATGATCCTTCTTTAGAAAGGCCCCACAGAGATTCCTCAAATGAAATGTCATCGGAAGAAATGAAATGTGGGCAGTACATTTCTATAAATTGAATGCGCGGTTTTAGTGCTTCGAATGACATCTCGACCATATTTTCTTTCAGAATCATTTGTATAATATGTATGCGCAGTTCAACGTTGTTCCATTGTTTTGATAATGCCTAAGAACTTGGGTACATGCTTAATCGCCATCCTCAGCAACATCGTTCCACGAAAACCAAGTTGAGAAAATAGTAGAAGAATAGATGTATCATGCGAGATTCTAGCCRTGCTTGAAACTAAACAACTGATATCCGCTTTCTGCAACAAAGTTTTTGCATTTTCGACATCCTTAACAGATTGGTCTTTGCCCGGAGTAGTCAATCGATTAAATTTACCCTAATCGATAAATCGATAAAAATCAAAGYGAAGAGATCTGATTGATATCGATTGTATCTAAAAATCGATAAAAATCGAACTCACAAAAAAAAATAATATCGATTTTTATCGATTGACAGTGCTCAAGTTAAACTAGACCCTGTATGCAGGGTTGACACGTACCCTTTGTTGTGCATGATGTTGTGAAATCATTAGTAAATGAGGCCTTAAACCTTACTGATACAGCATAAAGAAATGATTTGATCCTTCGAGCCTTGCCAAGATATATGTGATTTTTGCGATAAGCTTATATATTTGGTGGCTCTTAAAATTTCAGCTGTAACCGCCTTGGTGATTCTGCAGTATAATTTTAAGGTCAGATATACCCGGAGATATATAACTAGGCATGATTTGGTTACAACGTGACGCTTTATTAACTTTTGATATGATAGTAACACAATATTTTTGCACATCTACATTAAAACTCGACATATCTATTGCAGATGTTTGAATAGCCATGGAATTAATAAGCATTTTCTAAAGAGTTGTATTGATATTCAATCATTGGAACCCAATCACTATATCGTTGCCGTTGCTTCACGAGTAGTAAGCGTGTTGATCTCTGTAGTGAGATCTCCTCGTCATCACAATTCAACATACCCTTGGTCCGAACACCCAGACAAGTAATGAGTTCCAGATTTTGGTCGTAAACCTTCATGTTCTGTTCCATATTCGTTAGTAGAGACAATATTCATCAAAATGGCGGATAAAACATTGTGCAGAACGAGTTGGAAATGTTGCGAACGGGNACTATAAATAAGAATATATTGAGGACAGTCCAACCTCATTTCATTTGATAGAATTTGAAAGTAATCAATTGAAACACCGCTGACTTACATATTAGAGAGTTATAGATACGCGCTTGCGGCAAACGCCAAACGTCAAAACTGTTTACGTAATCACTGTTTTTCTGTATTAACGCTCCGTTCTTTCGCGATTGTGTATAAAATAGATCACTTTTTACGTAAGTTTTCAATTTTAGTCAAATCATAAAAGATATAAATTTGACGTAGCTGTGGAGGTTGCAGTAAACGCGAATCTAAAACTGTCTTTCTGATTTTAGAGCTATGCTGTACTACCATAGAAAATGTCGAAATAATTATCATTCATTGTTTGAAATAAAGATTCTATAATTGTACTTATTACTTGATCAAAATTAAAATTGATTTCCTTCACTCTCAATAACAAACACACTATAGATAAAAATCGATAAAATCTAAACAAAAATCGATAAAAATCGAACTCACACTAAAAAATAAAATCGATTTTTAAAAACCCTACCCCTCTGATGGGGGACTACATATAACGGCTAAATAAGTGATTATCTTGATATATAAAACATTTTAAGCTGTTAACTTTACAGCCGATTTTAGTCTTTTCATATACATAACAAAACATTTTAAGCCATTTTAACTTTAGTGGCTTAAAATGTTTATATATATATAATGCTAATTCTTATATAATACTAAAATTTATTTAACCGAACAAGTTAGTGGCTTAAAATGTTTTGTTATATATACCAAGAWAATGGCTTAATAAGCCGTTATCTAAACCCCCCTCTGATGGCAGTATGTCAGTAGTATTTGCACACCCCATCTATTTGAGATATACAATCTTATTTCAAGAGAACATTATTTGCAATAAGCACCTTTGCGTTTAAGCTTAAAGAAAATGAGGTAATATTGTGATGGATTCCTACTGGGATCACGGTGACAATAATACAACGTAAGGTTACTTATAAGGCTAAAATAAACAAACCTAAATAACAAGATCTTGACTGTGTACAACTTAAAATCTTTATTAGCTTTCTTCCATGAACAGCCATGGATTTCACGATTAATTTCAAATTGTAAAGCTTACTCAAGGTCGTGCGAGTACGATGATATCTTTCTTAGAGGATTTTTAATACCTCGGTGCTAAAACGTCAACACGGGAAGACCGCACAGACATTTAGAAATCAACCTCGTCCCCAGGGCACCGCTCTTCCTTATTTACAAAATGGCGGATGCTTTAACAAAAATATTACCGGGAATTTTCGACAAGCTGGACAAGCCACGAGCGTTCCATTCCAGCGGTTTCAAACGCTAGCCACGCTAGCTAGCATTCTAAAAGAGAAAAATGTCTAAGAAACGTAAAGCCGTCGCTTTGTTTTCACCGGAAGCAGTTCACAGCCGGTTAAATGCCAAAGAACCCGGAGTAGTCAATCGATAAAAATCGATATCGATAAAAATTGATAAAAAATCAGCTGATTTTTATCGATTTCTATCTGCAATCGTTATTACTATTACCCTTATTACTGGCATGGTGTGTGTGCAAATACTACTGACATACTACCATCAGAGGGGTAGGKTTGTCATTACTATTRCCCTTATTACTGGCATGGTGTGTGCGCGTGCGCGTGCGCGTGTGCATGTGCTCTAACTGCTGTTGAGTATTGGCTACTATAATCAGTACATTAGAGATATAAAGTTGCAACTTGGTGTTTGTATTGCATAAAGTTACACAATGCATATTGATATTAGGATATATGTCTGAGTATAGTATGTGTAGTGCTGCACTGAAGATCCCAGCTGCTGTTGCTTAATATAAAATACCTATAATTATTTCATTAACACTTCTTTAGTCTTATTACYAGTATTTGTGTAATAAGGAAGAAATTGCGTACATTCCTTCCTATGTTGGGTTGGGTTTACTGACACAACTTCATATAYCTTTCTTTTGGCCAATGGGAGTAGTGCTGGAAACTGCCTCAATGTTGCCTCGATGTTTTTGATGAACATGGTCACATCATCATTCACTGTTGATTCAGCATTAGTAGGCCCAACAGGAATTGGCATTTGAAGGCACCTTATACAAAATAATAATAATAACAAYATTACTTGTGTGTTAAGAATACATACATTAGCTAAAACATATAATTAAAATATATATATGCACACATGTAAATTATGTAATATAATGCACTAGTCAAACGAAACCCCCACCCTATGGGACCCGAGGCCGATAGGGGGATAGGTGGGGGATTGGAGCACATTTGATTGATAATCAGTCCCCAGAGGGTGGTGTATTTTATTCCATTTTATTCAATTTGACTCATGTCCTTATTAGTTGTAGGGGCATTTTTCTTTTCCAGAAAATGTCAATTCTATATACCTGCATAACACAGTGTATATTATTCTTTTTGTATGAAAAATTGTTATTACATTAACGAATTACCTTATAGCTTGCTTGTAAAGATCAAGCTTTGCGTTCTCCATCTCTTTTGATGGAGTCAGTTCCCTCCTTGACCTTTTAACCACTGGCTTTTCGTCGTTCTCTTCCGAAACAAGAGTGCTTAACTGGGGGTGTAAGTCGTCGTTTCCTTTTATGAACATCATTGACTTGAAGTGCTTCCACGTGGAAACGTAGACACTGCTTGTGCCTGTGCCGGAGACCTTGCTACCTTCTTCCCTCTCGAGCTCTCGTTGAAATATGGTTTTAAGAGTCTGCCATTGTTTCTTTAGATCATCCACGCTTCTTCCGGGAAACATCTCTCCCAAGCACTTCATGTTCACTTCGCGTAAGTTTCTATCTCTGTAGGATTGAATGTTGTGATTCCACAACTGCTCGTTCTCTCTATAGAAATCGATGAGTTTCTCTACATCTTCTGGGGTCCAGACTTGCACCTCTCTCTCTCTCGAAGACCTTTCAATGTCATCTTTCATATAAGAAAGAGCACCAAAGAATTTCCACTTCGACTGACGACCTTCCTGCTCTCTTTTCATCTCTCTTGTCAAACTTGTTCTCATACCATGTAGCAATGTTTTCAGCGTACCGGCGTCGATGTTAAACTTCTCTGCAAGGCTTTCGCTGGCTTTTAGCTTTTCTTGGCGGTTTTTATATGCTGAGGACCCAGTGTTCCACAAGCAAGGATGTTCCTCCAACAATCAGTTTAAGTTTCTTTTCATCCGATAATTTCTTTTCAATAATCGCAACATCAGGCTCAATTTGTTGTTGTTGAGACGCCATGTTTGATGTGTGACCGTGTTGCGTGACTAACGTCCAGCCAATCACAAACGCCAGAGAAACTGCTCGCGCCATTTTGACGCGAGACAAGTTGGGTTTCTGTGGTAATACGAGCAACATCTACAAGTTTTGTTGCAAAAAGTAGAATCATCTTCTACTTTCTGAAACAAACTTTTTCAACTTGCAACAAGCCATTTTGACGCGAGACAAGTTGGTACGCGCGTAGAAAAACGA